CAACGGCTATATACCTCATGAATGAAGTGCCATGCATTTTGCGGATAGTCACACGCTGGACCCTGACTCAGCTATACGCAGGAATGAAGTACTGATAATATGCTCCAACAAGCAGGAGCCTCCACAACTCGTTCAGTGAAAGGAGTCCGAGACAAAAGGCCACATTTTGCAAGATGCCATTGACAAGAAATACGCAGGAAGGGCAGCCAAACAGAAGGCAGATTAGTGTTGGTGAGCTCCAAGAGCAAGGTTAGGCTTTGGACAGCTGACTGTGAGGCTGGCTGCTCTCATCAAATGCACAGTCTTGGAAACCCTGTGGAGCCGTCCTGCAGGGTCACCAGGCGCGGGGACTGGTTTGAAGGCAGTGGAGTGGGGGACATAACCGCGAACAGCTTAACGAGTCTTTTTAGGGTGATGGAATCATTCTCACACTTGATTTGCACAGCTCTCTACATTTCTAAAATAATTGTCCACTGGAGATGGGACAGTTGGATGTTATATCAACTATTTCTCAGAAGGCTGACCTCACCCGTTTGGGGGAAATACCAGTGTGGCATGCTCAGGGACTGGCTTATAGCCACTGTCAGTAACTGGTGGTTTTTTTCTCTCCTTCCCCGGGCCATATTGCTGCTGGTTCATGGGCCAGGAGACGTGGTCCTGGGGGCATGTCCTGCCCCTAGACACCAGAAGGCCAAAAAGGTCAGAGGTAAGTCTTGTGATCTGTTGCTAAAGCTTCTGGAAGCCAACAATGTTGACATTAGCATCTATATCTTTTTATCGAGCAATGATTCCATACACTTGGGGGCTCAGCAGGGGGTGGATATAGTTTCTAGCACAGCTGGATCCCTCTACCTCTCACCTTTGACTCACTCACTTCCATGAAGCCAATTCTGGCTCCAGACTCCTGAGCCCGGTCTGTCCTGGAGCCCAGGCCTCAACTTTTTCCCACGAGTGGCTGGGAGGTTGGAATCACTGACCTTGGGGTCCACAACCCCACATGTAGCCCACTCTGCTACCAGAGCTCCTAGGGAGTCCCGAAGGGCCATTCACCTGTTTTTCTCTCCCACTGACCATTTTCGTAATCCCCATCCCCTGGAGGCATCTGAACCTGCCTCCCAGCCTGGTTCACTACCTGGACTTCTTCTCAAATGAAAGAACCTGATGGATGTGGCAAAGATGTACGCAAACCATGACCGCAGCTGGCCGGGCGGTGTGCGTCCTGGTGAAAGCGTGACTCGTACCACTTCCCTAGGGGTATACAGGAGTAGACAGACCCAAGGGCCTTCAAGGGCGGGCCCTCTGACCTAGTCCTCCCACACAGAGAGTTAGGCCAGAACCCAAGGGAAACAGTCAAGAGACAGTTACGGAGAGAGCAGAGGCAGCCTTTTTTGCAGCTTGGTTTCCATTAGGGAAGTCATTGGAAACAACGCAGACATCGCAACAGGGGACTGGTTGGGTTTATTGTGAGAAAGCTGGGTCTCAGATTCCAACCCAGTCGTTCACATCAAGTATGTGTTGAATAGGCAAGTGAATCGGGACCGACATTTATTAGTGGTCACCAGGGGCTGAGTCCCGGGTGACACCAATGACTAGGTGTTCCCGACTAGCTGACAAGGAGCCCTGGTGGCATTGTGGTTATGAGTTGGGCTGCTAATGGCAAGGTCAGCAGATCAAAATCAGTTGCCCCAGCGAGGGAGAAAGACCAAGCTTTCTACTCCCGTAAAGTCGTAGTCTCAGAAGCATACAGGGGCAGCCCTGCCTTGTCCTACCACCTCGCTATGAGTCAGCATCGACTTGAGGGCAGTGAGTTTTGAGTTTACCAGCTGAAAGACTGCCCGTTCGAGCCCACCCAGAGACAACTAAAAGGTGACCAGACGTCCTGCTTTTGGCGGGACAGCCCCGATTTAAAAAAATTTTTCCCACGTCCCGCAGCATTTTTAAAAAGTCCCAAATTTTGGAAAGAATGCACGACAAGCTAGGGTATACAGTTTTTGGCTGCCATGTGGCTATTTCACCAAGATATGAGTTTTATCAAGGGTGTCCCGCTTTACCAATGTTAAAATCTGGTCACCTTAAACTTGGAAGACGAGCCTGGTGCTCTGCTTCTGAAAAGTCCTTCCCTGAACATCTCACAGAGAGGTTCTGTTCTTGTAGCACGTGGGCTTGCCGTGCGTAGGCATCAACTCAAGTCAGCTAACAAGTGGCAGCTCGGAAATGGACAAGACAAGGAAAGGGAGAGGCACTGCTTAGACACTGCGTTTCACTCACTGCCTGCCATCAAGGTGATGCTGACTCATAGTAAACCAATAGGG